GTGGCATACACCTGTAGGTTCACCTACTCAGGGGGCTGAGGCAGGAGGATGGCTTCAGCCTAGGAGTTGGAGGCTGCAGTGTTTGTGCCACTGCACTCCAGTCTGGGGGACACAGCCCTATCTCTAGAATATCATAAATTTAAAAAAAAAAAAAAGTTACCTTAAAAAGTTATAAAATAGATTTATTTTTTTGGAAAGGACATGCTAGAGGCATCTCCAGGAGACTTTGGATGTTGGCAGCCCTCTCCTGCCTGACCACACACCTCCGTCGGGGCCCTCACCATGCCTGGACCCCTGCCGTGTCTTTCACCTCCACTCAAACACTGGTTCTTCCATCTTGGCGACAAACTTCCTGAAGCCTCTCTGTGCTACAACCACATTCTCTTTACTTTGCTTCTTCAGCTGACCACCCCTTCTCCCTCTCTCACCACCAAACTTCTAGAAAGGGTGGTTCACACTCCTGGACTCACTGCCTTACCTCCCTGTCCTGAGTTAACCCGGTTTCTGCTTCCCTCCCACTGCCAGACCACGCAGCTCAAGGTCACCAGTGAATATCCAACAAACAAACCACGACTCTCTTTTCTTCTTATCTGACCTTTGGTCAAGCCGGAACCTCCCTCTCAATTCTCTGCTGACTCTCCTCTGCCTCCGATCCGGCCCTCTCAGCTTCTTCCACCTGCTGATCCTCTTGGATCTTCTCTTTCATGTTGATATCTGAATCAACACTACCTTACCACGTTCTACAGTTACCCGTCCCCGGGCATCAGCTATCACCCATAGGTGATTATTCCAGCGCAAATCCACATCCCTAGCCCAGGCCTTCTTTTCCTGAGGTTCATGTTTATTTGCAACTGTGATTAAACACCAGAATGAATGTTCACAGGCTCTTTAAAAGTAAAGTGTCTAAACGGAGCTCATTATCTTTCCCCCAAGACTTGTTCTTCCCCCACCTTGTATTCCAAGCAGGAACCTGCACATCCCCCCACCTCTGCCACCCCCGTCAGCCACTGCACCCCAACAGACGGAACATTGTGTCGGCCCTGCTTCCCAAATGGGGCCTCATGTCTGCTCTCGGTGTCCCGTCACCTCTGCTTTAGGTCCTGGTCTGGGTCACTGACACTGACCTCCAGGCTCTCCCTCTGCCCCAGAGCTGCTTCCTACTCCTTTCTTGCTGCTATGCAAGTACATCCCCCAAATCCCATCTGAACACATCACCTTCCTGCTCAAAATCCCCAGGTCTTGAGGCTGCCTGTAGGATCAATCCAGACTCAGCTTGGCCAAGCCAGCTGCTGGCCTCCACTCGCCACACTGACTTCTCCATCTTGTCCAAATAGTCCAGTCTCATTCAGACACTGCACAGGCAAAGCTATACGTTTTGCAACTGAATGTTCTGGTTCTGTGCCATGCTCTCAAACACACCCATCAGCCAGAGGCAGCCAAGGCTTCTTAATCCTTGCTTCATGTTAGAAAGAGCTCCAAGGTCCAGACTTGCATCTGTGTCCCCAGGAAAGGCAAGTTGGCGCTAACCCTGTGAGGACTGGCAGATGTGTCTTCATGGTGTTAAAGCTGGGTAAAAAGCAAAGTAGCTGTGTGGACTGCTCCCTGCCAGTCAAGCACCCCACAAAGTCCTTCCTGCCTTTTCCTGTCTGCCTTTGGCTAAAAGCATCTTTCCAGAGAGAATCACACTTGACAGGCAAAGGCACAGGACTGGCAGGGAAGGAGGCTCTCCCTACCACACCCGAAATAGAGACCCTGGACCTTCCCCCACCTTGCTCCCCAGCCTGCTAATGCCCCCAAACCCAGTGCAGCTCAACTCACAAGTCATGGAAGTTGCGCAGGGAGGACGCTGGGGTGAAGACATCCAGGAGCCCAATGACCTGGGGAAGAAGTCACCTATGAGGGCTAGAGAGATGCTGCCTTCTCCTCCCACCTCCTCCTGGGCCCAGGCCATGCACAGGGCCATTCCCCCTTTCCTAATGCACCACCTCCAGCAGGAGGCAGGTCTCCAACCTTCTTGGAAGCAGTAAAAAGGGCAGAGGCTAGAGGAATCCCCTGGATTTGGAAGGAGTTTGCAATAAATGGTGACAGAGAGTCGGGCTGGGGAGAAGGGAAGGTGGGGAGAAGAATGAGGTGTGCTCATAGCTCTCAAGTCTGGTATTCAGGGCAAGCAATGAGACCCACTCTCAACTCACATAGGCAGCAGGAAAGCACGAAGGGAGGGTGGAAGGGAAAAAGGAGGGAACAGGGAAGAGGATTTCCAGCCAGCAAACTCCCTGCCCCTGACCTTGGGTCTACAGCCACATCCATCCTTGCCGGCCACAGGGCTCGTTGGGAGCCAAGGGCAAGATCACCCTGGCTGGAGGTCAGAAGGAAAGGGTTTGCTGGAAAGGGATGGGCTTAAAATGTACATAACATTTTGAAATCAGTCTTTGTAATGTCTGCCCTCCAATCTAGGTATCCTGGAGCAAAGCCTGGCTGCCAGGCCCCGAGCTGGGTCCCTGGTTTTCCCAGCTGCTTCTGTCAGACATGACGGTCATGTGCTCAGGGCCGGAGCCATGCTGCCTATATTGAAACCCCAGCTCGTGTACTCACTAACCACCTAACCTGTGAGCCTTGCTGTGCTTTAGTTTCCTCATCTGTGACACGGAAGCAATAGTATTCCTATATCACCAGGACTAGACAAGTTCGTGTTTGCAGAGCTCTTAGAACATAGGAAGCGCTCACTATGTGTCCTTTGCTGTTGCTGTTATCAGGGTCAGGTGGACAGGACACTAACCAGGATTCTAGTCCCAGCTGGTCACAAGCTCTCAGACAGGGAACCAATGACAAAGTTCCCCTGGGCCCATTTCCTCGGGAGGATGAGACAGTCTGTACCTCACAAAGTGCATTCTGCCAAAAATACCCTTTGACCCCTTCCTGGAAAGTGGGCAGGGCAGGTCCCGGCACCCCCTCCTTTCAATACTGAGGCGAGAGGCACCATCAGGGGAGCAGGGAGGAGACTGTCCCGAGCTCTCTGAGCTCTCCGCTCTCTGTACCGGGAGGCCCCGCCTGCGCCGCCCCTGACTCCCCAGGGCAGCCCCCGCCCCCCTCCCCAGCGCCGCCGCCGCTGCCTACGTTCTCATGCTGCATGTGCTTCAGCAGCTGCAGCTCCCGGTAGGCGCGCTTGGCGAAGATCTCGGACTGGAAGGGCCGGCTCAGCTTCTTGATGGCCACCTTCTCCCCTGACCGCTTGTCGATGGCCGAGCTGTCGCGCACAGGCAGGTCAGCATGAGAGGCTCTCCTCCTGGGCGGTATCTCCCAGGCCTCCCTCACCCCTTCCGCTGGGCAGCTGGGCTGGGGGGGGGACGCCCACCACCTAGAATATGGGGGAGCCGCGGGGCGCAGGGCAGGGGGTGGGAAGCCAGGCAGGAGCCCAGAGAGGGGCACAATGCCGGGGGCAGCAACGTCTCCTCGCGACAGGATCTCCCCGGACGGGTGGGAGGCTCAGTCTCCCTGCCACTTGGCGAGCCACTTCCCCGTCTTGGGGCCTCAGTGTAGTCGTCAGCAACAGGGACAATCTGCCCGATGTACTCTGGGGCCTTGCAGGGGTACAGTCCTGGAAAGCCAGGCCCAATTCCCAACTCAACCCACAGAGACCTCACACAGCCGCCCGGTGAGAAAAGGGAGATGGCGGCTGGGTGGCCCCGGGGAGGGCGCTGGACCTTGAGGTTCTCGGTACAGGTGGCGCTGGCGACGGGCCCGCCCAGGGCGGCCAGGACGGAAAGTGGAGCGCAGGGCGCCCGCCCCGCCTCCCCCAGCGTCCCCCGCGCCCCCCGCGCGCCTCGCGCCTCAGTGGCCCGGGGGTCTCACCACACGGCGCCATAGGCCCCGCTGCCGACGTGCGTCGGGGACACGTAGGTCTTGGGCAGCTCCCAGACCGTCTTGTTGACGTCCTGCTTGTAGAAGCCCTTTTTCCGGATGAGGCTCATCCCGGGCACCCGATCTCGGAGGCCCCGGCGTGGCGGCTGCGTTCGCGGCCCAACGGGCTCCCAGCGCCCCGGTCCCCGCCGCGCCCGCCCCGCGCCGCCCGCTCCTCCCCCGCGCGAGGGCGGGGGCCCCGGGGCTGCGACGCTCCCACCTGCCGGCTCGTCCAGGTGCGCCGGGGCCGCCACGCCTGGGCCTGCCCAACCCTGCGCTCCCGCGCTTCCGCCCGGCCCGACGGAGCCACCGCGGCAGGTCGCCCAGGCACGGGTCGGGGCTGCCCTGCGGGACCCTGGTGCCTCCCGGCCGAGCGCGGGCCAGCAGCGGGGCTGGGGGGTCCCAACAGGAGCCGGGAGGCAGCGCTTCCCAGCTCCCTGCAGCCCCGGTCTCCGTAGGAAGAGCTCCCCGGGACTGTGAAGACACAGGAAAGCAAAACAAAACCCCACCACCTCTTCCTTAGGGAACATGTCAAACATGCGGGAAAGAGGCGAACAGAGTAAGCCAGCGCTTCTCACACTTGAGTGTGCGCAGGAAGCTCCCGGGCATTTTATTCAATTAAAATGCAGGTCCTGACTCGGTAGGTCTGGGGTGGAGCCGAAATTCGGCATTTTCTAGCCAGCTCCCAGATCAGAGGCTTCTGGACCACAACTGATAAGAGGTTCTCGTGAACCCCCGTGACCCCACTTCCTCAGCAACCTCAACTCATAATCAGTTTTATTTCATCTACATTCCTCTCCCACCATCGTTTTGAAGCAAAATCCAGACGTCATATCATTTTGTTCATAAATATTTTTGTATCTCTAAAAGTTAAGGATTAAAAAATATATCCACAATACATTCTTAAGCCTAAAATTAATAGCACTAATTCTATAATGGCAAATAATCATGCAGGTTCAAATGTGCAGGGTTTTTTTGTTGTTGTTGTTTGTTTTTTGAGATGGAATTTCACTCTATCACCCAGACTGGAGTGCAGTGGCGCCATCTCAGCTCACTGTAACCTCTGCCTCCTGGGTTCAAGCAATTCTCCTGCCTCAGCCTCCCAAGCAGCTGAGGCTAACAGGCCATGCCACCACGCCTGGCTAATTTTTGTATTTTTAGTAGAGACAGAGTTTCACCATGTTGCCCAGGATGGTGGTCTCCAACTCCCGACCTCAGGTGATCTGTTCACCTCAGCCCCCTAAAGTGTTTGGATTTTAGGCGTGAGCCACCGCGCCCGGCCCAAATGGGAAGTTTTGAACACAGTTTCTGTGGGCTTCCTAAGGCCCTTTGAGGACAATGTCAAATTGGGGCCCTTGCCACCTGTCTGGTGGCCTGTGCAGCCTAAGGGAGATTCTATGCTCAAGTCACGGAGGCCTCTGAGGAACAAGGTGGGGATGTGGGGGGAGGAAAGGGTGCAAGGGGTCTGGATGCCCAGCCTGACTTGTCCAACCCCTCTCTGGCCCAGGCATGGGCTGTAGAAGGGGCAGGACTACTTGCTTCACTTAGTCAAAGGGATAGAAAGTTGCTAGGGGCTTACAATACAAGGAAAGAAACTAGCTAGGGGCTTACAGCAAGCTGGGGGTCCACACTAGGGAGTCGGCAGCCCCCAAACTCTGTGCCCCAAACCCTCTCAGGCAGTCCTGCAGCATCGGACACAGCCTGGAAGACCATTCGGGGGTGAGGGTGGGGTGCAGGCTTCACACAACAATGCCCGCCATTATTTCAGGCAGGCAATCTGTCTTTTTCATTTCTGACATATGGCAGGAAATCAATAAATACGTGGAGAATGAATGGAGGAGTCAGCCCATTAGATGTGAAAGAGTTATTTAATAAACACTTATGTTTGCCATGTGCCAGTCATTAAGTGTTTTATATAACTCACTTAAATCCTGGTGAGAGGCCTATGAGTCAGTACTATGATTGTCCTCATTTTAGAGATGAGGAACCCGAGGTAAAGAGAGGCTAAGTAATTTTCTCAGGGCAACACAGCTGGTAAGGGCAGCGCTGGGTGAAAGCAAGTACGTCCTGGTTCTAGGGTCCCTGCTCTTGGCTGCGAGGCTATGCAGTGGCTTCAGGTTGAGAGAATTGCTCCTCAAAGGCAATGGCCTTGCCCACATCATAAGGACATGTCTACTGATCAGACTATGTCTCCCTCAGCCCATCCTGTCCTGAGGTATCCGATATTTTCCCCAGACTTTTCCCTCCCTCACCCCATGCTCTGGCCCTGAGACCCATGGGAGCCTAAGCAGCAGGGTTTTGTGCTAGGGGGTGCTGCAGGAGTTTTGGACCTTTGGGATCGGTGGCACCAGTGCAAGATACCTTGATTTGAAGTTGGGGTGGGGTCCTAGAAGTCTGATTTTAGGCTGGATGCAGGCAAAAGAGAGTGAGTGATCTGGGAGACTCAGGTTTTCTTGGTTTGAGAATCCAGTAAGGAAAGGGGCCAGGATGTGGCAGCAGGTGAGGTTAGACCCTGTCTGCCGCACGTCTTCAATACCAGAGCAGGGCAGAGGTGAGTCCAGGACTGTGGGGATACCAAGGGCATGCTCATTGCCCAAGTGGGTGCAATCTCCCGAGGACACGAGCAGCCACTCGGGTTGTGGCTCCAGATGCTGTTGAGCAAGTGTCAGGAAGTGACTCAGGCCTCCGACTCTGCTGACACTGACCCCTACTCTGGGCCTGACTGGTCCCACGTTACTCAGCAGCCAGGCAGCCTGGGGGGAGCCCTTGGAGGATCCACCTGGGGAGTCATGAATGGGAGGGGAGGAGGAGAGGGTCACTCAGGTCATCCTGGATGCCCTGCCTCCTCAGCCTGAGACTCTCTCCTTTTGAGTTCCAAGGGCCCTTTGCTCTTCTCCTTTCCAGACACCAATCCCACCAAGGTTGTCTTGTTGGTTTCTGCGCTATGAATGTGGAGGCAGGGGTTCAGGAAACCAGCTTTGGAATGAGGCCTGCATTTGCATCCCTTCTCTGTCATTACCTGCTGTGTGACCTTGGGCAAAGTTTGGTCCCCTCTCTGAGCTTCAGAGTCCTCCTTGTGAAATGGGGATAACAGTAAAGTATGACAAGCATATTGAAAAAGCCTTAGGATTGTATCATTTCAGGTGCAGTGTAAGTATATTCCTCAGAACAACCCATTGAGGTAGGAACTTTCAATGCCTCCAACCAGAGATCACCAGAAACACACATGTGGGCGAAGAAGCTGAGCCGATGACTCTTTGCAGTGAGGGAGAGCATGCACCGTGGGGATCACGGGCATCCCAGGAAGGGGCATTAGAAGGGATTTAGTCTAATGTTGGAGTTGTGTTAGGCGATTTGGGAGGGGTGAAGGAAGCGGGGCTTTGTTCTGGGTTGATGCTGTCAGGAAGTGGAGGTGACACTGTGATTGGGAGTCTTGATGCGTCTTTCCTAGAAGGAACGCAGACTAGAGCAAGGCTGAAGCTACAGCTGCTCAAGTAGCAGCCGCCACTCAGCTTAGCTCTACTGGGGGATTTGGGTCATTTCTGTGGTTTGGACAAAATTCATGTTTTGTCTGTGTTCTGATATGATTATAGAGTAGTTTCATTTTTGTCTTGGTCTGTCCTGGTCAGGGATGGCCTTGTTCGCTGCTGATGTCTGTGAAATTATCTATGTTTAGCACAGCAAGACCGAATTGCGCCAGGCTGGGCCGCTCCGAGCAACCAAGTCCTGGCTGATGGGACCGGGCAGCTCCCAGGTATCAGGGCTGCTTTAGTCTATTTCAATATAATTATTCCCCTAGTACACATGGAGAGAACTGAGGCACAGACAGGTGAAGTAATTTGTCCAAGGTCACACATAACTAAGAAAGTGGTGAACATGATCTTCATTCCTGGCATCTGGCTCCTAAGTCTGCACATTTAACCACGAACTAGAATGCCTGGTGTCCAGCATGTGCCTGAGAAGGGGCTGTTGCCGTATTGTCTTCTAACTAGTCTGTGATCCTCTGGAGGCAGAGACATGGTGTGGGGATTGATGATGGTTTATTAGAGATTGAGGCAAAAGCCCCGCATAACTATGAGGCTGTCGCATCCCCCATCCTGGTCTCCCAGACCCCATCTTGCCCCAGGAGCACAGCAGCCACCCTCTCTGTTCCAAATGGCAGGACCAGCATGAACATCCTCATGAGTCCTCCAAAGATATGAGAAAGCGTGACACATCCGGGGTCCTCTGAGGGTGGGACAGGTCAGGGCGTCCTAGAGCTCTGGCCCCAGCTCTAGAGATTCCCATGCTCTTTGGGGCTTTCAGAACTCCATGAAACAAGCAAAATTGCAAGGAGGCAGGGAGATGCAGAAGAAAGACTGCACCTGCGGGCTGCTCTGTGGCGTGGTAAGCTGTGTGATCTTAGACAAGGTAGTTGGCTCCTCTAAGCCTCAGTTTTCTCATTTGTAAAATGGGAGTGGGTGATAAGACCCATGTCACAGCGCTGTTGTGAAGACTAAAAGAGATGACTCGAGAAGTGTCCAGTTCAGCCTGGCACACAGTAAGTCCCGCCAGAGGCTCCTTCCCCAGTGGACTGTGTCAGCTCTGCCCGGGTATGCCAGCTGCCCAACCCCAGCCGCTGCTCTTTGGCTGTCCAGTCCCTGCCCCAGAAACGATCCCCTCGGTGAGAATCAGCTCAAACTCACATCCAACTGCTCTATTAAGTTTTTTGCCAGATACTCAGGACAAGGATTCATTGACCCATTTATTCAACATATATTTGTTGGCCAGGTGTGGTAACTCAGGTCTGTAATCCCAGCATTTTGGGAGGCTGAGGCAGGAGGATCACTTGAGCCCAGAAGTTTGAGACCAGCCTGGGCAACATGGTGAAACCCAGTCTCTATTAAAATAAAATAAAATAAATTTTTTAGCCAGGTGTGGTGTGCGCCCCTGTGGTCCCAGCTACTCTGGAGGCTAAGGTGGGAAGATTGCTTGAGCCTGGGAGGTTGGGGCTGCAGTGAGCTGCACTCCAGCCTGGGCAGCAGAGCAAGATCCTTCCTGTCTCAGTAAACAAAACAATAATTTAAAATGTTGATATTTAATACATTTGGTTGAACCAAATGTAATGGCAGGTGGTATTAGTGCTATGAAAAAATAAGGTAGAGTAAGGGTCTAAAAGCCTAGTGAGTATTATTTGA